GGTTGTTAAGATTGTATGTGGAAACGGCGGTTGCGGCATCAAATGTAGTGGCTTGCTGGCTGACGACGAAGAAGTCGTGGCCGTGGAGATGGATGGGATGAGGAACGGGGAGCGCGCTGTGGATAACGAGGTAAATCCATTCATTCGCGTTGGGTACCTCGACAAGATTATCCGGTGTTCCGAATGCGGTGATGTTGTTTTGAACCATGAGGAGAGTCGGATCTTCCCACTCTGAGAGGAAAGTAGAGTTGTTAAGATACCATTTGAAAAGTTTCTGAGAGTTTTGAGCAATGGTGACTGCTTCTTCGGGACTCTTGGAAGCGGCTGAAACGGTCTTTGGGAGGTACGGAATGAGCGAGGAGACAGGTTCATCAACACATTCATCTGTGAAAGTGTAGCCGGTGGTTGTAGGGAGGCCGGTTGAAGAACCATAGTGTAGAACGCCTCGGATGTTATCTGAGTTATCATTTTCGGAGCAGGAAGATTGGGGAATAGCGCGGATGAAGAAGTCGGAGGCGACGGATGCTTGGTTTGCGGTGATGACTACATCGTAGCGTTGTCCTGTGAGAAGGGTGTTAGTGAAGACTCGTGTGATGAGGAAGGATAATACTAACCAATAGCAATGTTGAGAATCTCAGTTTGATACGGAACAATAGGAACAAAATCCATCGCCATAACAGTCATCGTATGACTATCGACTGAGAACTTGAACTGAGAATCGATGGCACTATTTACAAGACGGAATCTGTATGATTTGCCCGATTCAACACTAGTTGAGAAACGGGAACCAGTTTGATTACTAGCACCATCCGCTCCGAAAACGTTGGTACCATTGATAAGACCTGTAGCCATTGATTGAGGACCAATAGTCTGAATCTTTTGGTATAGCTCATCGACAGTTACATGACCCCAATCACTGAGCATAAGCGTTCCCTTATCCTCGTCGTAGTTAGCCGTGGCAGGACCATTGATAATAATTCCACCAGCAACACCTTCCCATGCTTGAAGTCCAACATGAGAGTGATACCATGATGAACCATATTGAGTAGCTCTCCACCTGTAGGTATAAGTATCTCCATATGCAATAGGACATTGAGTAACTGATGGAACTCCATCGTTTTGATTGGTATTTTTTTGATGGATACCATGGAAATGAATAGTTGAACCATTGGTAGCGAGACTGTTTGTCACATGTACCACGACATTATCACCCCAATCGGCAATAATGGTTGGTCCCGGGATACTTCCATTGATAGTTTGGACATATCTTGAAACTCCATCAGGCGAAGCAACGCCATCTTGAACATTGAACCAGTACTAAAATTTGAGGATTAGAGAAAGTTATTGAATACTCGAGAAAGTTCTTACCTCGCGAGTGACACCAGTATTTGGCACTTCATTGTAGTAATCAGTGCTTGTAGAATAGTCACACCACTTTGATCTATCAGCAGCGGTATTGCCTGCGCATGGGGTTCCTGATGCTACAGCTGAGCTTGAAGTTTTGCTGGTCGAGGATGCTGTTGAAGAGGATACTGGAGAAGTTGTGCTAGTGATCGAAGATGACTTGGCAGTAGAAGACACAGTATTTGCAGTTGTTGATGTTGATGTGGCACTCGAAATGCTCGTAGGGTTAGCCGTTGTAACGGTGATACTACTGGTAAAGATGGGAGGAAGCGAAGTAGTAGTAGACAATAAGCTCTGAAGCGAACTCCATTTAGATGAAGCTACAGATTGAAGAGAAGAGAGAGAAGTTTGAACAGCTGCGGCACTGGTAGTTTTGCCACTTGTTGTTGAACACTTATTTGATGTAACGGCATTGGTGTTTCCAAAAGTAAGAAGTGATGGGATATAAGAAACTTTTGTGGAAGCTAAGCACTCGACTTGGTTGATGATTTTAAGAAGGTCTGCTTGAAGAGTGGCAATTGGATTAAAGGACCATCCGAAAAGAGGGCTTGCTTGAATCTGGCAAAATGAAAGGCACAAGGCCAAAAGAATGTGAAGACGCATGATGCAATTCCCTGAAACTTTCTAATATATGAAATTCGGCGTTGAAGTTTGTGTAGTATAAAAGATTGTTATGGTCCTCAAGTGAGGTTACCAAAGGAAAAAACGAAAGCGAATATAGAAGGAAAGGGAAAGAATGAAAAATGGATTTCTGGATTGTAAAGAATGAAGTTGTACCAGTGGGAATGAATCTCCCTTAAGAATATTTTTGCAATGATGAGATTCAACACCTTGAACCGGGTAAGATAAACTACTTAGGAATCACATCGATGCTTTACCGTCAAAGTCCTCTGGACCCGAGCACCGAAGTAGACATTCTCCTTGGTACAGTCTTCGTACAAACCCTCAAAGGGACTTAGGACGCAAAATCTTAGTGCAATCCACCACACGGATCTCCACCATGGTAGACCTCAAGTTCGTACTAGATTGACAGTGCAGATAACGAAAATATCTTAGTGCTTTGATCATCCCAAGAGGAACCCGAAATAGTATTAGGACGAGCATCTGTCAAGCTCAGTAGTCAATAATGGATGCCACCAGCCGCATTGAGAATCAGGCAGAAATATACTTGTGAGAAATTAAATTGAAATAACAACTCTGAGCCTTTGACCAGCATACAAGTTAGACTTGAAAAGGAGACCTGCATTTGAATCTGTCCTAGGTCAAAGGTGTGAATGGTGGATGTCGTCTGGGCATCCATTCTCAAATGTTTTACCAAGCAAGGTACGAGTAGCTAGAGCAGCTAAAATAATTTCGGGGTCCTAAGGTTACGCGACGTACAAGCCTTGGTATTAGTTCTTCATTTGATTAAAGTGATCGGACATTTTACTTATTCTCGTACCTGACTAGTTTTGTTTGTAGGCTCAACTTGTATTAGTGTTAACTGATGTCCAAGGTCGAATAAGAGAGAAGCCATTCCAAATAGAGAGTACTGCTAGAGCATTTCTCTCTCTCTTTGAACTTATGGTACGATGAGAAAGCTTTGCAACTCAGTAGTCAGGTACCATCTACAATAGTTCGCTTCGTGTGGCGATTTAGTACCTTAATGACATGGATATTGGTGGCACCTTATCGTCTTTGTTTGACTGATGACCTGCATGCTCTGTGAGCTCTGGGATAGTCATTCGATCATCAGTCCGTGGAAGCGTTTTACAAACGGATATTTCAGTATGTCTTGTGTATGATTGCATACTACCGGTATCTTCGAAGCAAAATGTGATGTCCAAAGATGACAATAACGATATCGCCACTCCTGCTGAGTACATTCTTCAAAACCAAGTCTCGAATGCATGGATCAGGATCTCGCGTCTGTTTCATCTGACATGTAGTAGCGGGAGATCTTTCGATGATCGACGTTGCTTAACAGGTAGGCGTAACTTGGGAGAATGGAAAAAGATACAACTCATCTTAGGTAATCTTGAGAGAGACCAATGAAGGATGTAATCGAGGACGTAAAGGAGAGGCTGAAGGGAAGAAGAAACGAAAAATGGATACCCGCGGAAAGAAGAATGTTTGAAACACGATGGGGGATCTACTCACGGGAGATCGTCGTTGCATTCGTATATCGCTTGATCATGCCGAACGATACGAACAAAACATGGAATACATTCAATTGGTTAGCTTGACATCGGGTGGTCTGCGGACGTAATTAGCACAGCCATTTCATCTATCCTCGAATCATCATTGATCCGAAGTTATTAACCTCCAAGACGGCCGAATATCAATGTATCCCCTCCATACCCATCTCGTCGACCCCACTCGCTCTATAAATATACATAGAAACCTTACACTTCGTACCTTTTGTTGTAAATTTATATCTTCAAGTTTCAGATTCGATTTGTGCCGAGAGATACTCCAGCTCTTCATCGTCAGATACGAAGTTCAGATTATTCAACTCATCACAACACAAGGTTGTGTTAATCAGTTAATCTCATCTTCTGAAACATTGCAACGAAAATGCTACGGAACCGTGCACTTGTGCTCCCCGATATCTCTCCAGCTACCAGCTGCCATGCGACTTTCCTTCAACTGCCTCTCACGACATTATTCAAAATGTATTAACAATGAAATTTCTTATTTTGATTTCATCAAAAACCCGACATCTAGTAAATGGTTGATTCAAATTCATTATTCTTGGCAGGCTTTCAAAATCCAAGTAGCGATGTTATGTGGTTTTAAATCGAAATTCCGATTTTTCTTTTTCCCAGAATATGATTTGATATTCTCAGACCACCAGGTGGATTATAGTCGCGGGACCCTTTTCGCCTCTCTTCTCCCTCTCATCCCTCTCGTCTTCAGTCTTCACGCACCCTGTCTCGAGCCTGTTCAATGGCTCGGACTGTCGGAAAATTTGCCGTCTTATCACGTACGCTCTTTGAGTTAGAATCTTTGAGCTCCAACGAGGGAAATCCTTCCCATCAACACCCGTGCAGATCGTATTTGGGATTCTGATATGAGCACTCTCGAGCCACTCCACAAAGCAACTAAATTCGGATCGAGAGCCGCGTACAATTGCACGTTTTTCACTATCACATCCAACCACCATGTGGCGTGGACTAATTATTCCATATGATCGACCAGGCTGACGAAAGCACCCTTGATGGGTTGGTATGCCATTGCACTGACTTTCGTTCTTGTCATCCCGCGTTATTGATTGTGTATCTATCCCCATTACGGCTCAAGCTTCCACAGGGTCAGATGTTTTCTCCTGACTAGCAGAGGTCCAAGATAGTTCTTGGTGTATTGAAAAGCTTTTCTATTGGGCATGATAAAGCTGAGAAGGGATTTTTACAAGTTGGCCCCGAGCTTTGGTGACCTGGTATTTGTTTTCCCGTTCGATATAATATTAACGGTAAGTTCTTCGCATTCCCACGTCAGTTGTTGTATACCCAAGTTTTCGTTCTCTTCATACATTTTATCCCTTCCTCGTCCTCTTCTGGTATAAGGATTTTCACTCGTTTGACTACCATACATTCTCTCTGCAAATCCAAGAAAACATGAAATTTACTTCTCCTCTCCTGTTCCTCTTCGGAGGAATGACAGCATCTGCTGCTGTTCTCCAAAAACGTGATACTAGCTCTACCGACTCATTTCACTTATATGCGTATGGTACTGGTATTGGTGGCCTTCCAGTATACTACTCTGATGGTAAGCTAATAATCGTATACTATCGACTGGTCTCACAAAACTAATCGAACAAATAGGAAATGCATTTATCGGCAATACTGTTCCAGCTGGCTCCAAGGTCAACGCAAACATCACATGTAAGAATTCCATCACCCATAAGCATGTTCATTCCCCCACAAGCCGTTTTCGAATCCAACTAACATCTCACCTTCCTTTCAGTCACACCAACTTCTTCTAGCGAATGGATTGTCACACCCAGCAGCAGCAACGTGACACTGACCAACACAACCACATCCGCACTCGTCATCAATCCATCCTCTAGCAGACTCACCAACGTGGGATTTACCGGAGCGGTTGTTGGGAACAGTACTACCAAGGGGCTTAGCGCATCGACTGCTGGAAATGGTACGACCAAGGGATTTATCGCGTTTGGAAATTGGGCTATGTGGAAGAATCCCAGCACGGAGAAAATAGTGTCGAATTTCTATGCGACGCCGGTTTGTGATGGGGTGTGGCAGTTGATGTGGAATGCGGAGGAGATTGATGATGGGTCGAGTATTAGTGTTGCGGTGAGGAAGACGGCTCCTAGTCATTAGAGATGTGCTGGGTGTGGATGTGGGTGTGAGGGTTGAGATAATGATGAGTTGTATCTAAAGGCGGGGGTTGCGAGAAGAGGGAGGTCGGGGGTAGGTTGATAGAAAGGGTCTTTATTAGGTCTTTAACGGAGAGGAGAGGGAGAGGAAGAGAGAATTTGTATATTAAATTCCTTCCAAGATTAATAGTGCACATTTCGATACTAGTAATTATTCATTTCAATTCAACAGTTTTAAAAATTATCATTTATATATTCTTGTTGTGTCTATGGGTAGGAAGTCCGTGTTCGCATGCTTTAATTTGATGCTTCTCCTCGTTCTTGTTTGAGATGTATATCGACCACATCGGTACGTATACCCAGAGATTTTCCAGACTGATAAGAATTACAGCATTCGATATATTCTGCTTACATACTAGGAAAGTTTAACATGAATTCCGTATTCGTAAATACCCATATAAGACGATATCCTACCTCGCGACCGACAGAAAAAACCGAACACCAAACCCGCAAAACAAGCGAAAATTTGAAAAAGAGTCTTTTTCAAAATCTAGTATTAATTCAATTTTATATTTTGAATCTCTCGAAATTGTTGAATAAAGATCGAAAGCTAATAAATAATCATCTATAATGATTTGAAGGGATTGTATCGAGTATTTATTTATATATATACATTTTTTATTGAGGTGTAGATTTTTGGTGTTCGGGTTTTTCTGTCGGTCGCGAGCCTACCAATAATTAGGTATTATAGATAGTTAATAGAAATAGCATTATAAACACTACACTTCCCCATACTCTCTCTGGACGAGCAGCTTTATTCATCCTGAGTGAAGCCTCAAGGGGTAAAGCTTGATTACATCCTGACAATACAAGTTTTTTCTTTCTCTCGCATGCCTGAGCTGCTAGTATGTAGGAGTGAGTGAGTGTATCTAGGTAATTGAGTGGCTGAATACACTCTTTTGCCTAGGATCACTGGCGGATTAGAATATCTCCGATGCTTGATGGCGACAGTGGCTTGGATTGGACTTGGATTTTCTTGTGTCTTGATCTGGATTTTTATCAATATTTGTGATAAGGATATATATGTACGATACCTGTATCGGTATTCGTATGGATGGTCTGGATCTGGCTAGCACTTAATTGTTCATAGTTGGTATTCGTATTGACAGTCTGATATAGCTAGTACTCAATTATTCATACTTTTATAGTGTGGAGTATATGATAATTCTTTCAAGGTTACATATATCGCACAGCAAGTATAGTTCCCTATGACAAACGCCTCTTGTGTCGTCTTTACAACCCCCTAATCTAAATGACTGGTAGACGATCATTCTTTGATATACGATAAGCGCATCTCAGGGGAAGGGGGGTAAAGGTGGGTAAGGAAGTTGAAGTTTAAGTAACGGTTATCGAATGAATGGTAAAGAACTCCCTTTCTCGGTATAACTTCCAGAAGCTTGAAACACATTTTCTGCTTCTTTGGTCTTGGGAGGATTAAACTTGTATCGTGGACTCATCCTGTCTCGGTTGTATATCGTTTGAACATGGACTTTCCATATTTCCTGAGCCAGCAACCAGTGTGATGCGTGATGTCATGTCTAGTCATTCAAATATGAATCAAGGTGTGATTTATATCCATGTCGCTCCTTGGTAAGGTTTTCATAAGTGTAATTTACGATCAACGAATCATTTCACTCAATTTGGGATTTGGGATTTGGGATTTTGGATAATCCTAATCAGTTCAACCATCACAAGGGCCCAAATGGTAAACACGACCAAGTTGTTTTTCCAAAATCAAACATTCACCAGGTGTTTTAGCATTTTAGCATTGGCATTGTCATTCGCATTGGTATTGGCATTACCTAGATGATTCAATGATATCTCTAGTTTTCTTCTAGGTCTCTTCTAGTTCTCTTCTATTATCTTTTTATTTCCTTCTAATTCATTCTTTTCCACACCGGTACCGATACGATACGATACCAATACTGACATTGATATCCATCCATATCGACATTGATATCGACCTCAATATTGATAACGAAAACGAAAACGACCTGTTAATGATCTCACAAACACCATCCAATACTACCAATACATCTTAGGTGGATTAATAAATAAATACTTTCTCTTATGCATCGTTAAGGTGTTCAACGTTACTCAACATGTCTTCAGTTTTGACTGGCAATGCCACGACGACCTCTACCTCAGCGTCCGAAACCACGACGCCTGCAGCGCAAGGCTCCGAGGGTATTAGTCTGGTCGCTCTTCTAACGGCAATGGCATCTTCTGCCATCATTTTTGGTGTACAGATGATAGCTTTTATGCTTTTGAAGAACAAGCTTGCACGGATATTGTAAGTTTGGAGGATGTTACGTGTGGCGATCTGCACTCTGTGGACGCAGATTCCAATGGACTTTACTGACTGAATTCTAGCAAACCAAAGACCTATTTAGTCCCCGAAAAAGAACGAACAGAACCACCTCCTAGAAGTCCGTGGGGATGGCTCTTTACCATATTTCAATTTCGAGATCGAGAAGTTATCAACAAATGTGGCTTGGACGCTTACTTTTTCCTTCGATACCTTCAAACGCTTCTGGTCATTTTCATACCTATGGCCGTCGTCATAATACCAATTCTTGTACCCATGAACTATATCGGAGGCAGAGGTGGAGATTGGGCGTTACAATATGCAAACGACAAAAATAAGACAGAAGTCTCTTCGAACCCAAATGTAACTGGACTGGACCAATTGGCTTGGACTAATATACAGCCTAGCAAGACAAGTAGATACTGGGCGCATCTGGTGCTTGCTCTTTTGGCCATCATGTGGGTCTGCGGTGTATTCTTTGCAGAGTTACGAGTGTATATTAAAGTACGACAAGATTATTTGACATCTGCAGAACATCGATTGAGAGCTTCAGCAACTACGGTGCTTGTCAGTGCCATTCCGGATAAATGGCTTACCAAAGAAGCTCTCGCTGGGCTTTACGATGTTTTCCCTGGAGGAATTAGGAATATTTGGATTAATCGAAATTATGATGAATTATTAAAGAAGATCCATCTTCGCGACAAAATCCATTTGAAACTGGAAGCAGCCGAGACGGAGTTGATCAGAGGCGCGAAGAAAGCGCAGAAAAAACAAGCAGAGAAGGATGAGAAAGCTAGAGCTAAGGAATCGAATCGCAAACTAACCAAGGAAGAGAAAGCCGAGAAAATAAAACGCGAAAATGAGAGAGCGGCAGAATTGGCGCAAAGTGGCGGAGTTGCGACTGGCGAGGAGGCTCCTCACACCGTGGATGATGCATTAGACGAGGAGGCAGAATTGGAGAGACAGGAAGAAGCTCGACAACATAAGCGACACAGTTCGAAGAAATTTAAGCTTGGCAACCCCCTCGCCGCTATGGGACAAGGTTTCGAGGTAGTTGGACAAGGCCTAAACAAAGGTGTGGACGCCGTAGGAAAGGCAGGAGGTACTGCTTTTGGGGGCGTTTTAGGACTTGGCAGAGAATTAGACGATACAATTGAAGAAACGAATGGTAATGGGTTCGCAAGTCTCGACGCACCATCGATAACGGAGGACGACGAATATGATCAATATGGAAGATATAGAAAACGGCCACCACCTCCGAAACCGTATGGATCTGGTGTGGATGATGAAAAGAACCGGGAAACTGAGAAGCAAAGAGAAGAACGCCCGTCAACATCCGACCGTGATCCTCGAAGTTATGATGGGGATAGAAAATTGCAAGGCAACACAGTACGAAGAAATGGCTTTCAATATGGAGGAGATGGAACCAATGATGCCTTTCAAACCAATAATTGGTGGAAATTCTGGAAGGGTCCCGCTGGCGGGTTCCCATCTCCAATCCCAACAGGATATGAAGATGATGATGAGTTTCCTTTAACTCAAGGCGATGGGCCAAAGTCAAGGGTTGCAACTGGTGCCCCGCCAAAAAAGACTGCGTGGCAGGTAATTAAGGATATCATACCTTTCCTAAACTCAGATGATGGACCAGGTGTAGAATATCCAAAGGCTTTCAACGAGGAATATGAGGAAAATGCAACGACCGCAGCTTGGCAACGTTATCTGAAGGAAAAGGATAGGCCAACCCATCGATTAGCCAGGTTCAGTTGGACTCCTGATTGGTTCTTTGGCATTCCTGGAATCAGTCCAAAAGTCGATACGATATATTGGTGTCGTGAACAACTCGCTCAGCTAAATGTTGAGATCGAATTGGATCAAAAGTCTCCTGAGAGATTCCCTCTCATGAACTCGGCTTTCATTCAATTCAATCATCAAGTAGCTGCACATATGGCTTGCCAGTCTGTTACCTACCATGTTCCAAAGCAAATGGCACCGCGTACTGTTGAGATTTCACCCAATGATGTCCTTTGGGATAACATGTCTATCAAATGGTGGGAGGCTTGGCTCAGGACCGCTGTCATTACTGCTGTCGTTCTTGGTATGATTATTTTATGGTCGATTCCTGTCGCATGGACATCAAGTTTATCCCAGATATCTTCTTTAGTGAATACCAAACATTGGCTTCATTGGCTTAAGGTTATACCCGAAAAGGTTCTTCAAGCCGTAGCAGGTGTTTTGCCCGCCATTGTGCTCAGTATTTTGCTATCATTGGTACCAACAATTTTGGGTTATCTTGCCTTTGTTCAAGGTTCACAAACTGGCAATGAGAAGCAGGGTTTGGTTCAAACTTATTATTTTGCATTTCTCTTTGTCCAAGTTTTCTTGGTTGTGTCCATCGCTGGTGGTGCGGTAGCTACAATTGGATCATGGTCCAATGACATTACTTCTATACCCGAAACACTTGCACAACAATTACCAAAGGCGGCGAATTATTTCTTCTCTTACATGATTCTTCAAGCATTTTCTGTGAGCTCGGGTACACTCCTACAGTTAACGACTCTCATTTTCTGGTTCGTTTTACCAAAGATTTTCGACAATACTGCTCGACAGAAGTGGACCAGGAATACAACGCTTCCATCAGTGACATGGGGATCATTCTTCCCTGTTTACACCAATTTTGCCTGTATTGGTTTAATTTATTGTGTGGTTACGCCGGTCATCATAATTTTCGTCATTATTACATTCACACTTCTTTGGATTGCGAATCGTTACAATATGCTTTATGTGTCTCGATTCAGGATTGATACAGGAGGACTTCTATACCCACGTGCTATCAATCAGACATTTACTGGTTTGTACGTCATGGAATTATGCCTCATCGGTTTATTCTTCTTGACTCAGGATGAGCAAGGTAATTCACTTACTCCTCAGGCAATTATTATGATTGTTGCTTTGTTACTCACTGCTCTTTACCAATTCCTTCTCAATTGGTCTTTTGGTCCTTTACTTCGATATCTGCCAATCACATTTGAGGATGAAGCTGTCCTTCGTGATGAAGCATTCGATCGGATACAAGCCGAACGTCTTGGTCTCACTATTGCAGATCCTGAAACAGTACCACAAAATGATGGAGCTGGTATTGAAGGACCAGGTTACATTGAAATGGATGCGCTACATCCTACGACCACAAATAGAAACAGCGGTAGTAAATTTGCCAAGCTTAAACCATCAAATCTTGTACATGGTGCTGCTGTAGCTGGCGGTTGGGCTTTACAATCCGGTCGAAATCTTCGACACAAAACATTTGCCCGTGGAACTGGCACCGATGGTCCTCAACCTATCGATGAGCCAGTTGTTCGCCCACAGCTCACGCGTAAACGACGCCATAAAGATATTGAAGCGCAGCAAAAGATCGCCAATGCACTTTATGGTGGGTATAATGACGAAATTGAAGATTTGGCACCGGAAGAGAGAGATGCTCTTGTTAAACATGCGTTTCAACATTATGCGTTGAGAGCTAGGAGACCGGTGGTTTGGATTCCAAGAGATGATATTGGGGTGAGTGATGATGAGGTTAAGAGGACGAGAGATTATGCAGGAGCGAATATCTGGATTAGTAATGTGGGAGCGGCGTTGGATGCGAAGGGGAGAGTGGTGTATGGGAGGAATCCGCCGGATTTCTCGGAGGTGGATTTGATTACGTTGTAATTATTTTGTGGTTGTGTAGAACATGGGGGAGGGGGAGATTAAAATGATTGGGATTGAGAGAGGAATTTTAGGGGGAGTAATGGCGTTGGAGTTCTTGTATATGAGGGGTAGGGGATATGGTACTTGGGTGATTTTTGGATTTTACATATTAAAGATGGGGAGGAGAAGATTTTGAGATGGAGATGGAGATGGTGGTTGTATATATGGATTGAGCGGGTTGTTAATAGATTATTCCTTGATGTGTGCATGGGAAACGGCCGAATAGAATAGAAGGAGCATAATCTACTGATAGACACAGAGAGAAGGGGGAGTCTGGATAGTATGTGATGAGAGCTTGGGGGTCGGAGTAGTTGAGTTGGATAGATGGAAGTGGAAGTGGAGATGAAGATGAAGATGGAGATGAAGAATTAAGATACCCGTTTCTTTTGATAGGATTGATGAATTTGGAGATGGAGGGGAGGGGGAGGGAAAGGGGCAGGGGAGGGGAGGGGAAAGAGGGAGGAAGAATACCTACATACATAGTCGAGTACATAGAAATCCAAAACATCTTTCTCAACTCTTTGTTTTATGCATTGTGTTTGTGTTTCTAATGATTGGGAATTATTTTGCTATTTTGCTTGGGTAGAGAGAGGGAGGGTAGGATGAGGTGGGATAGAGTAGGTAGGGTGGTAAAGAAGGTTTCTTGAATTGAGAGGGTTTCTGAGTGGATTTAAAGGGGGATAGGTAGGGGAGAGTGAGGAGGGAGGGGAGAGGACGAGGATGGAAAATAGTAAAAAGTTGGAATTTCTGAGTATTGTTTACTAGTTCTTAATAATAGATATTCTGCCTTGTTTTTATAGTAGTGGTATTGTGATTTTGAGTAGGTGAAAGAGGTGAAAGAGGTGAAGAAGGTGAAGAAGGTGGAGGAGATAATGGAGGTGATAGATGAGGGATAATAGTTTTGAATTTGAGACTTCATTTTTGTAAATTCTACTTCAACGGATAGGAGAGGCTGAGCGAGTAGAAGGATATAAAATGAAGAATAACCAAAATAACCTTTTTTGATAATATAGATTATGCCTCCAAGGCCGAGCCGGTAGAGGGATAGCAGATGAACAATGATTATAGAATAGGAGTGTTTCTGCAATTAACGAAAATCGACATTGTCTGGTGATGGTATTCTGCCTCCACAGCAGTAGCTTTATATAAGTAGAAAAGGCAATGAAAAGGCTAAGTGAATAGAGATATAGAAGATGGAAAATAATCAAAATATGTTTTTCTAATAATATATATTCTGCTTCTATGGCAGTGGCCTGGGTGGGTGGGGGAGGCGGCGGAGAGGCTGAGCTACTAAGAAATTGAGCAACTGAGTGAGTAGAGAGATAGAAGATGAACAACAATCAAAATTGATCTTCTTTTTAATAAAATAGATATATTCTGTCTCCATGGCAGTGGCCTTGGGTGGGTGGGGGAGGCGGCGGAGAGGCTGAGCGATTGAGCGACTGAGCAGCTGAATGAGCAGCGAGAATAGAAGATGAATAATAACAAAAATAACTTTCTCTAATAATATATATTCTGCCTCCACGGCAGTGGCCCCCCGGAGGGCCAGCAGAGCGTCATTATAACAGTCCCTTGAATTTGATAAATTGCTGCAAATAATTAAAGATATGATCTTTCAGAAAACCACAATTTAACACTTAGGTTTTTCGCATATTGATCATCTGTTTATATTTTTATACTTAAATTGTATATATATTCACTAGACCTCACTGCCGACTGAAGATTAACATGATAAGAGTTTAGGTTCTGAGGCATCTCGAAAATTCCAACCCTGCACGGTCCTCCATATCTCGCTTCGATAATCACATGATCAAGTTAGGGTTTTCCAAATTTCCCACTATTTCGCGATTAAGCCTGCATTGCTCATCGAAAAAAAGTCGAGATATTGAAACCAACGACAACCCCACGACAACCCCAAGGTACGTTATCGCCAATTTGTGTGCCATCATACGTCTTATTATCTAGACAATCGCTGACAATTTAATTCCACAGTTCCTAATTCAAAATGAGTGCGTAACCTTCGAATCTCGATATATTACATATCAACAACCAACGAGGATCTCAATACTGATGATGATTTGAATTACAGCCAAGGGAACTTCCAGTTTCGGAAAGCGTCACAACAAGACGCACACTTTGTGCAGACGTTGCGGTTAGTCTTGAATCCAATCTTTTGGGACGGAGAGGAGGAAATGATGAAGTCGCGGATCAGGAGATGGACAATTGATCAAGGATTTAATTTTATGGATTTGGGATGAGGTTCAAGAAGAAGAATTCAAGGCTGATATATTCTGGTTTCAATTTACAGGTCGCAGATCTCTCCACATCCAAAAGCACACCTGTTCAGGATGCGGTTACCCAGCAGCTAAGACCCGTCAATGTACGTTCTCTCCATCCACTCATCTTTATCAGCAAATCGATTCAGCAATATCCACGATACACTCCTACCTCCAATCATCAATACACGAAGGAGAAATGAAAAGATGAACAACAGTACGAATATATGCTAATACACCATTGAATAGATAACTGGGGTGAGAAAGCCAAGAGAAGAAAGACCACAGGTACCGGTCGCATGCGTCACATGAAAGAAGTTCCAAGAAGATTCAAGAATGGATTCCAAACCGGTGTACCAAAGGGAGCTAGAGGACCAGCCACTAAATCCGAGTAAATGTTTACAACAATTTGGTTTGCTTGCGTGGGATGGATTCAATAGCGTCGAAAGGGTTGGCGAATGAATGGCTTTTTTGATCTGCTAGAGAACTGGGAATGAAAGCTACATTTATTGAGAAATCTTTTTTTAATGAGTGTATGCGAAGTTCAAAAAACTCGGGTCGCATGAATGTCTTCGTGGATCGTATGAGGGTATGAAGTGGGTTGGGTGCATGCCAATTTTTTTAAAGACATGACATTACATGACATGTTCTCTAGCAAAAATTCCATCGTTTGCAATTCAAAGAATTTTGTGATGATGAGAATTATTTCTTTGTGATATGTGAGGTTTGGAGTTTGTGAAGTGTATACGGTTTTGGTTGATGGATTTAGATATGGATTTTGTGATGATGGGAATTTGAATGGGAATGTGAATGGGAAGGTAGATGATGAATGATGAGTGAGGAATGACGAATGACGAATGACGAATGTTGAAGATGTCTATTTCTCTTTTGCAGACCAATCGTTTTATAATCCTTGTCTTTAATGTTTACATGCAAATGGATGTGTCTAGGTAGGTGGTAAGTGGTAGGTAGAGTGTAGTATGTTATGAATGAATAGTTATGATATAGTTATATCATGATATATGGTATGGTTAGGTGTGTATGATATGGTATAGTATGGTATGGTATGGTATGGTATGGTATAGTATGGTATATGGTATCAAGATATAAGTAGTGGTATCTAGGTAAGCCACTATACTTAAGATTGGAAGTTCAAAGTTCGAAGTTCGAGGTGCAAAGTGGGAAGTGGAGGGAAGTGGAGGGAAGGGAAACGAAGGGAGATGGGGGGAGGCGGGGGTGAATTGTATTGGAGTTGGGGTTTGGGGTTTGAGGTTTGAGATTTGAGGTTTAGGGTTTGGGATGAAAGAGAATGGGAGAGGATAGATGTTGGGAGAGGATGGAGAGGATGTTTAACAAGAGTTATATTTTGAAAAGGGATTGGGTAGAGGCTTGGAGGGAATTGGAATGGTATGGGATGGGGGTGTGAGATGAATATATAATGATATTATGGTTATATGATAAATATACAATTCACCAGAGTATTTAGAATCATGGTGTGATGTAGTGGTATAGCAGTATAGCAGTATAGTGTATATAGTATATAGTAGTAGAGTAATAAGTATGTTGCATGTCTATTGATGTGGATTGGTGTGGATTGGTATATGTATAGGAAGTATATTAGTATATATACACTGGTGCATGTATGTATATGATATGATGTGTATGTAATATAATGAATGTTGATGTTGACATTCGAATATGTATTTGTATTTGATGTTGATTTACGTTTATTTATCCATCATCCATTCATAATTCACTCTATCCATCCATCTATCCATTTATTTATCAATCCCAAGTAAAACAGATAGATAGATATTGCGAATTTGATGTCTTTGATACCTACCTACCGAGATTTGTTTGTATATTTTTCTATTCTGCTTTGTGCTGCTCTGCTTTGCTCTGATTTTCTGTGATGGAATGGGATTGGATTGGATTAGATTGGATTCCATTGGATTGGATTGAATGTTTCCATCAATACCCCTTTTTCTCCCTCGTGATATTGATCTACCTCTTTCTCATCACTTCATATCAGAAACCCCAGTATCGTATCAGTAAACCCACATTCATCACCCCTCGCCATAAAGATAAAAGGAAAAATAAAAATAAATTTTTTATCCCTTGCACCCTAATCTATATCCTCGATCCATATCCTCAATCCATCAACCACCTACTGCCCCCTCTCAAAGACCCTCACACTCCCATCTCCACCTACAAAATACAAAAGTTCTTTTTCCTCTACTCCTTCTTTGCCGTCCTCACTCGGATTCCCTCCCGCTGTGATACGCAATACGCCACTTACATCTCGCGCTGCGCCGGTATCGAGCAGGCGCGTGCTGAGGATCAAATCTGCTTCGTGCGCGAGGGTGGTGGTGAATGCGGAGGTGTTGGTTGCGAGGGGTGTTTGGGGGTGGGGGGTGAGGAGAGGAGTATCGATTGAGAGGGTGGTGATGGTGGAGTGGATGGGGGGGAGGGAGCGGAGAGAGAGGAGGAGGGAGTGTAGTTCTTGAGTGGCGGTTTCTGGGGTGGGGGTACTGGCGATGAGGAAATCGGGGGAGTCGAGGATGAGGATTATTTTTCCGGGAGAGGAAGAGAGAGAGGTAATGGCTTTGGTGAGGAGGTTGGAGATGGAGGGGAGAAGGGGGGATGTGAGGGGGGTTCCTGCTCCTGGGGTGGGAGGTTGGGTTTGCGGGAGGTGGAGAGAGCTGAGACCGTCGAGGAAGAGAAAGCGGGATTGTTGGGTTAGTTTGTCGAGGTCGAGATTCTGAGTGGGATGTTAGTGAGGATTATAAGTATGAGGATAGATTGGAAGTGGAAGAGTGAAAAGTGGGTGGTGGGAGGAGAGTACTTTGAGGTACAGAATTGGAGAAGCTTTTCTTCATATTTGTTGGTTCCTCTCCTCGCTTGAGAAAGTTCTTGGAACATAGCATAGGTAAGAAATACAACTTTGTATTCCCACTCTCAGATTGGTCGAACATCTTCAAAAATACACATCTCCTTCCAACGATCTTTTTCCATTCCTCTCCTCCAATACCCAATGCCCTCGCAATACCCAATGTCCCTTGAAACAGAAAGAACTCCCCCCTTCCCCCCCCCAAAAAACAAAAAAGCATAGTAGGAAAATAAAACATACAATCTTCCTAGCCCCCTCTCTCCAAAACCCCATATCCCTCATGAAGCTCAGAAATACCACTTTTACCTCTCCCTCTCCTTCTGCACCTCCTTCTCCATTTTTCTCCGCTCCAGGTGAAAATATCGAACTTAAATATCTTAGTAAAAGCCAATTTGTACCTGCGCCCAATACACCTGTGAGGAGAATCAAAGAGGATTCTGAGGGGAGAGAAAGATAGGGTGTTAAGAGTGGTGGGATGGAACGGGTGGTGGTGGACATGGTTTTTTTTGGCTTTGGCTTTGGCTTTGGTAGGGTGTAATGTGTGTGGGTGTGTGGTGGATTTGGGGGGTTGTATTTGAGGGTTTGGGAGGCTGGTGGTGTGGTCTGGTCTGGTGTAGTATTTCTTGTGGTTGGTTGATTGTATTCTGAATTTTGGATTTGAGACTGAGATTTAGATTGGATGAGGGTTTATGTTTGGTATGATGTGATCTGACTTTATCTGATCTGATCTGATCTGATATGATATTCAAAAATAAAAAAGATATAAAAATTATAGGGCACGTGAGAAGATGATGAAATTGAGGAAATAAAATTTGGCGGGCACGGCGGGGATGATGATGTACGATATGGATGGATGGTGGGGGTTGAGATTGAAGCTTTTTGTAAGCGAAAAAATGTGGTGGAAAAATGTATTTGGAGGTTTTGATATTGATATTGGTGAGGTACGGATGGATGAATGAATGGATGGATGGATGGATGAGAACTTGGTGAAAATTTTTGGAGAGATCTTGATTTTTATTAATTTTATTGTATATATACCTGGGTAGTAAGACATACTCTGAATATATATTATATCATATAAATAAAACACCTGAAGAAATTATGGAAATATATCCTCATCTCTCTTTTTGATCAAGAGCTCTAGGAAACTAGGACGTGGGCTCACCGGAAGCAAGGCAAGTTCAAGATTATATCAAGGGCTGATATCAATACTTTGAACTGTATTTATTTTTAATATCTACTTATACTCAACTGACTGTTTGACCAACACTCTCTTGAAATTCTATCATATGTTAAGGTTACTTGATCAAACTATCGAATTAACACATAAGAATGTAACATTCATATTCTATCTTCACTCTACTTTATCTACTCTCTCTACTCCCTCTACTCCCTCTACTCCCTCTACTCCCTCTACTCCCTCTACTCCCTCTACTCCCTCTACTTGACCTATTCCCTTTACTCCAACTATTTAATATACTCCAACTATTTCCTCTATCTCCTCTCTCTACTCCCTCTACTCCCTCTGCTTGACCTATTCCCTTTACTCCAACTATTTAATATACCCCATCTATTTCCTCTATCTCCTCTACTTCCATTTATCTCATTCTCTATCTCATCCTCCTCCTCCTCCTCCTCCTCCTCCTTCTCATCATCAACCAAAGCCCCAACGCGTGGGGTCCATCTACCTACCCAGCTAACCCTACCCTACCTCCCACCGAGCTATAGATGCCATGTCATCTAGCTCATAGCTTTTAGCTTTTAGCTTTTAGCTTTTAGCTCCAGCACAACCCATCTATCCCATACAACAATAACAGGGACTTCCACGGGCGGATTCAATTCGGAGCATCCAAAGCTTAAATGTACAGTACTACATAAGAGCGGAGAAATCCCATTGCGTTTTTCGGAGTTTGAGGAACCCTCTGAGAAATCGGTTGGAGCGGTTAGAAATCTCCTTGCATCCATACCTATCGGTAATGAGGGGCTATGATGATGATGAACAAATAGAAGGAAGGCATTGTAGATGTCCTGGAGATGTAGGTATACAACTCACAGTACGAGTATCATCTATGGAAATAAATTGATGTTTAGAAATCTTCAATTCCAAGTGATCCATCTAGACGGCCTTGGATTTTTCCGGATAATTTTCCATCCTAGTAGAATGTGTAAAGGAGGTTATATTTGATATCAGATTGTGTAGGTATTGTAAAGTAGATATATCGTAAAGTCTATTGTAGTACAGATACAAATTCCAATCAAGTATTTACCATCCAAACATCTAAATAAAATCAAGCTCAACTTAAAAAGACCCCGCATCAATCCAATCCCGACCATATCGCCGATTTGTAGAATACCTTACGTCGGAGTTGCGTACTCGGGTTAAGATTCGCGAGAGAGCTTCTTTTGATTCTATACTTTATTCTTGTCTTTACTATATACATTACATACATTGCATTGTATATCATCAAGTTACAATACATCACGACACGACATCTTCAAACCATTGTCGAGAGATACATTACTCACTCACTCACTCACCACAACTTCATCCATCATCCAACAACCTCACACCCTTCTTTACCCCAACTCACCTCTCTATACACCTCACCACCTTCACCATCACCTCCAAAATGTGGACAAATCCCCGTTCTCCCTCCCCAAAAATGTGGTCACCACGCAACCCCCCTCCTCAATCCTCCCATCGACCCTCCCACTCACAATCCCATCCCTTCTCTCCCCTCTCCCCTCTCACTCCCTCCGGCCCCTCAGGAACCTTTCCCGCTCCCACCCAAAAATTAAAGAATCAAGGAAAACGCATTGCGCAGATTGTAAAAATTAAGCCGGAATGCGTGGAATTGTACAAGGAGTGTCATGCACGGGTTTGGCCCGAGGTCTTGAAACAGATTAAGGAGTGTTATATGGAGGATTGTATGTTTATCCCCTTCCTTTCCTTCTTTCTTTCTTCCTTTCTCTTCTTTTCCCTAATTCCCATTCTTGAGTCAAAGAACCAACCAATCAACCAATCAATAAACCCAATAACTAACCCCCCACCTAGATTCCATCCACTACGATCCCCAACACAATCTCCTCTTCGCATCCTTCAAATACGTCGGCTATGACTATGCAGGAGACATGGAGAAGATGCGAGAAAACCCCAAAGTGCGCGAGTGGTGGGCCATGACGGATTCGTATCAGGAGAGTTTGGTCGAGGGCAGCTCAGGGAGTACGGATGAGAGGGGCTGGTGGAAGAGCGTGGAAGAGGTATTTTATGTTGCGTGATGGGGGAAGGAAAGATAGGAAGATGGGAAACTCGTCGGTATCTATATTTCCTGAGCATGAGGGATTTGTGATGTGATGTGATGTGATTGGAATTGGATTGAGATCACGAATATGACGGCAATTGAAACAGAAACAGAAACAGAAACAGAAACAGAAACAAGAGACGAGCGAAAAGAAGAGCAGAGCAGAGCAGAACAGGAAACAGCAGGATAAAAATCTCAAACACAACACAATCTTCATTTCACGCTCGAAAGAAAATCAAAGTCACAAGTTCAAGTCCAAGTCCAAGTCCAAGTCCAAGTCCAACTTTAAGAAGATACGATTGATACCATGATTCGAGTATATATCTGATATTGTACTTCCATTCCATTCTTCCATTGTCATACTTTCTTCCTTCTTTCCTCTCTCGTTCTAATTCTCATTCTCATCTTTTTCGTCTTCGTCTTCGTCTTCGTCTTCGTCTTCATCTCCAATTAATAATCTCGATCCGATTTCTCCCTCCAAATTCTCTTTCTCTTTCTTTCTCCCGTCCTTCTATTCCCGCCTTAATTTTCCTGATTTCCTTTTTCCCATTCTACCTCTCTCCCCTTCCATTCTCATTCTCATTCCCTCTATTGTACCTCCATTATTCCCACTCCAAGCTCCCCACTCCAAATTCCTCACCCAACCCTCTCCCCCCCTCTTCCCCCTTCCCCATTCGAAATGACGCTCCGCTGGCCCTCCGGGGGCCATTGCCATGGAGGCAGACTATTTAATTATTCACCCATTTGTCTATTTAAATTTATCTATGCATCTATGCATCTATCTAGCCATCTTTCTATTCAACCACCAATCATTCTCTATCTAAATAAAGATATCTACACAACCAATCAACCAACCAAACGAGGAAAGAAACACCGTCCTCGAGCGCAGCGAGCTAGGGGGTTTGGGGGCTTGCCCCCATTGTTGTTTGAATTGTAGATTCTGGATTCTGGATTGTAGATTGTGGATGGTTGGGTAGAGGGGGGTTTGGGGTGTCTGATATATTTGATATTGATGTTGATATAATGAAAGGTTAGGGGAGAAGGATAAAGTATATAGAGTGGTTTATGTTGTAGATGTATAGATATATATATTTGAATTTTGGCGGCATCTAATGCAATTCAATCAATTCAATGGTGGAATATCTAGATATACATAAATACAACTACAACTACAACTACAACTACAAACACACCCACCCCCTCATTTCCCCCATCCCTTCCACAAACCCCCAAAAAGACCCTCTCCCCCGGGATGACCCTCTCTCCACTCCTCCCCTCTCCTAGCCGCCCCCCTAACCCACTCCTCCAACCCCTCTCTGCCCAATTCCTGAATCTCTCTACTCCCCAACCTCCCCCCTTCCCCACCCACCCCCTCCGCCCCTCCGCCCATCACCTCCCCCCTCCAAAACCCCACCAGACTCGGTACACTGCGCACCATATAGCGCATTCCCAGCCCCTCATTCATAATATCCGGCGCATCAAATTCCACCTCCGCAAACAGCACTCCGCCTTCTTTCTCGCCCACTCCCGCTTCCAGAATTTGGTGTAGTAGAGGAGAGATGGTTTTGCAGGTGCTGCAGTAGCTGGTGGTCCATAGCGTTAGCAGCGGTTTGGAGCTCGATGTGCTGAGACTGATGTATGTAGCTAGATCGGGGGGGTAGCGCACGCTGTTTTTGGGGTTAGTGGGCGGGCTTCTCGTTTTGATTTTATGGGAATGGAAGAGGAAGGGAATATAACATACGGAGAATATATCCGATTCTGATCTTTCTTCGCAGCGGTGCTGGCGAATTGTCTCCGCGAGTGTGGAGGGGAGCATACAGATGTAGATGTAGATGTAGATGCAGATATCGCTCTCGAGATCGATGACGAGCTTTTGGAAAGCGAACGCGAGATGTGTTTGAGATTTGATGGGGTCATTGTGATATCGTGTCGTGTCGTGTCGTGCTGTATGTTTGTATATGTTGATATAAATCCAATTGCAATTGATGCTTCTATCGATGGCGTGTGTGAAAGTTTGGTCGTTTGAGATTTGACTTTGTGCTTCTCGATTTGATTCGATTTAGATATAGATATAGATATAGATATAGATATAGATATAGATATACATCCAAAAAGCAGAAATTCCCAACTTCCTCAATAGAGCTATGATATGAATCGGTAAGCTCGAGGATTCTAACCTTTCAATTTGATTCTATTTGTATAAATATAGGTAATAAATTCAATAGATATATCAATAAAATATACTGCACTCCAGAGTAATAGATAGATAGATATTAAAGCTTCTTCAATCAATCGAGCTCCAAGTATTTTTACCACTTACTTCATAGCTATCTAGGAGCCCTGGTAGCTATCACATTATGACATAATTTCTCTCCCCGCAGCTAAACCTAATAGAGTCGGAAGATATGAATACCTACCTCCAGCTACCGGTACAATAATGTATTAACACAAGTACTAGGTATTCTACGATATATGAATACATTTTATATACCTACCTACCTAGTATCCATATTCATCCTCATCCTCATTCTCTTCTTTCTGCTAGATAGACTCACTCTGAACGAAATAACGGGCACACCAAAAATGTATCATCACTTCCAAAATTCATTTTCAAATCAACAATCAATACCTTTATATTTCTAATGAAAGCAGATTATCAAGAAGATGATAATCTATAATACACCTTTATTTCATCTAATTAATCATATTTTTTCAAAATTATTATTGAATTTTGAATTAATAGTGTTTTAAAGAAAGTCTCGAGTTTGACGGGTTTGGTATGCCCGTTTTCCCGTTCAGAGCGAGATAGACTATGTCTCTGCTAGATAGACAATGAGCAATGATTATCAAAATTCCTATGTACGCTATTCTTACATCTTCACTCGTTTATTCATTCGTTCATTTATTAGATACCATACCACATCACATCACATCACATACATCACATCAAACCATCCAATACCCAAGAAAATCTCCCCAAGTACCTATGCAGAAATCACTTTCTATTCTATGAATCTCTCTTCCCTTGCCTTCTCGCTCTGACCGACCATCTGATGACCTATATAGTACATACACAGTACAGTACAATACAGAATCGTTCAGTTAATCTATGCATAAAATCCCTTTTATTGAAACTTTCATGCCCGCGCTCTCCTTTTCTCTACTCTCCACAACCATATCTCCCACCTAGACATATCCATCTAGACATATCCATCCAGAATCCATATCATCTCATCTAATCTCATCTCATCCATTACGTCGCTGATAGAAATAGAGTACAATAATAATGCATACTAGGTATCTCTTTTCCATACCCTCCATCACCAACCACGTCATCCTTTTACCTATTCATCCCTACCCATCCATCCATCAATCCATCCGTCATGTATTAGTAACAAAGTAAGTAGTATTGTAATGTAACTTTCTCCCATTCTCCCCCTTCTCCTTTTTTGTGCATTCGCTTCCTAGACCAAAACCCAACCAACCCCCGAAAAAGAAAAAAGGAAAAAATCGCTTCATCCTCATGGTGTAAAGAGGCATGCAAAAGGAATGTATTAATTGATGGTTTAGGTTCCGAAGTGAAAGACCAAGATAAAAAGTGAAGGAGGTAAAATTGAACCGAATGAATTGAATCTTGTTACATAGGATCTTGATATCCTCCAGTACTCAAAGAAAAAGGGTTCCGGTTTTTTTACCCTAAGCATAATACAAAGCCTCGACGAGATAGATAACTCCGAAGATCAAAAAGGCAATGGCGCCTCCTAATGTTACTGCGAAAATGTTAGTTTAATTTATGATAGCATAATGCAAGAAGAAGAAACTCACCAACTCTCAAGCTAACCTTGCCAGCAATAGCTCTTCCACCAATGACAGCCACACCAGTACAAACTGCATGTCCACTAACTGCTCCTCCAGTAACCCACCAATAATCCTGACCAGCCGCCATAGCAATAGTAGCAATTTGACTTCTATCACCCCATTCTCCAAGGAAAGTCATTACAAAAGTTTGAACCCATGCTGGGCTAAGTAATAACGAAAGAAGATTGTTCAAGCCTCCTGCTGCACTTTTCAATGTTGACCTCTTGGGAGAAGGGGATCGATCTGAAGATGTTGAAGGGCTTCTTGGTGGAGATGGAAGACGTGACCCTGATCTAGATTTTCTTGTGCTTGCTCTTTGTCCTCCTCCAAGACCCATTTCCAAAGCATATGGAGAAACTGATGAACGTCTTCTTCCTTGTTGTTTTGCAAGATGTTCTTTTTCTTCGAGTTCCATTTCTACTTCTTTCATTTCTTCAGTTACACCCTCGTCTGGACTCATAGCTAAACCTTCTTTCAATAAACGTCCTCCGAAAATCAAAAATAATCCTGCAGCTAGGAAATTGGTGAATCGTTTTGGAATCAACGTAGGTACTGCGTGGCCTAATACTGCGGATAAGATTGTCATAGCAATCAATGCGGAAAAGGCGGCGGAAAATACGAGAAGTCTATCGTGCTTCATCGCCATCAATGCTGCGATTAAAAATGTTTTGTCTCCGATTTCAGAGAATAAAATCATCGTAAGTGAAAGAAGATATGAATGTAAAGGTTGAATAAGACCATTATTGCCCTCCCCTTCCAATTCAAGCTTTGGAATACCCTTTGAATCGGATTTCGTAACATCTAAATGATCCTTGTTGGCAGAGTTAGGAATTGGATGAGGATCATTGTGTGTCTTATCTGGGAGATCTGTAGGTTTATCCAATCCAAAGTTATCCGTACTACCAGCCTCCTTATCATCAGCGGAAGCCTTTTTAATTGTCGAATCTTTCTTCTGCGGATCTTTGGTATCGCCTTGGATTTTTTGTTCGGTATCATGAGGTATGGGTGGTGCTTCTTTAGGCGATGCAGGTTTCTTTTCAACCTTCTCTCCCGTTTGGCTTTCTTGGCCCTTTCGTGTTTTATCTTTCTCACTCACACCTCCCTCGGTACCAGTTGTGCCATGTTTAGGTGCCTCTCTACCTGGATCGTTCATAACTCCATCGTTGCTCTGGGGGATTTCCTTGCCATGGGCATCAAGCATTGGCTTCTCTTTTGTTGTTTTGGCTGTAGGTGGGACCAATTCCCCATCGGTAAGCTTAGAATTGGAAGTTTTGGAATCTTTTGAATCCTTCGTATCTGCCTTTTCACTTGCTGTAGAGTCCTTCTTGGGATCCTTTTTGGTGGTATCTACAAATGGCCCAGCATGTGGTTTTCCATCTTTACCATCGACGGGCGCATCTTTCGTACCAAGTCCGTATGATGGTTTGTTATCGACGGTAGTTGCAACAGCTGCTGATGGATCAATCTTGTCCAATTTCCCTGTTTGCGCATCGCTGTCTTTTGAAACGGCAGCGATATTATCTTGTGCCGCAGGAGATAGAGCTAGAGCCAATGATGGCAATAGAAGTAAAAGCAATGGGGATTGCTTTCTCCGGAATCTCATCTTGAATTGTGTCTTTTGATTGGAGTTGGCAGATGTAATGAGAAGGTAGTTGAGATGTAGATGTAGCAGAGGTGTAATCAGGGGATACTAGGTAGTTATTGTTGGATGTGAGGATGCGTAAGGCGTCAATGGGGGAATAGTATGAGAAAGGGAACCAATGACGTGTCTAGTAGGTTTTAAATGTAAGTTCAATAGTTAATGATTCTTGGGGAAATTGACCAAGTCGTACCTTGAATTGAATTATCAAAGAGAGGTCTGATATGAAAAATAAAAAGGCGTATTAAGAAGAAAGAAAAAAAGAGGTTTCAGACAGTAGTACAGTAAGTAGTAATAGTAGACTTCGTACCGATGGATGGGATGTATGAAGAGGTAATACGGCAATATGGATACGATAATATTTGTTCAGAGCACCTGCACCGAAAGAGGAAACCTTAAGGAAAAGGTATCCGCTTTTTCCTTGTGGCTGATGATTTTGTAGTCAGCTTGAATGATGATTGGTTCAGTTGATTGATATTGGGGAGCAATATTTATTAATAGATTATCGTTTTCTAACATATTAGCGGCTTTGGGAAGTGCAAGATCAAGGGGTAGGTAGGTAGGTACCTAGTACCTACGTTTTGGGTGGCTTCGGGGGATTCTTCTGGACCCATACAGTCTCAAGGTTCATCTCACACTTGCACTGAACACCTGCCCAGGTGCAGGTGCAGGTGGTTCTAGATAGGGGAGAATCTGAGGCGTTAAAGGCGTTGAGGCGTTGAGTTGAGGCGTTGAGTTGAGGCGTTGAGTTGAGGCGTTGAGTTGAGGCGTCCAGAAGATCTAAGATACCGGTGAACCCCTGAATTACACGATGCAGATGTGGAGAGAATATGTTAACTTATATATCAATCATTATTTGTATTACAAGTAAGAAATGCTCAGATCGATTAACAATACAAGTACAATATCTAGAAAAGTGAAAGGTTCTCAGGAGAAAACACCTAGATATTCATTTATCCAGGTAATCCCCTCTCCCTCCCTCCTCCCCTGATCCAAGGTCCTAATCAAGAAGTCAATGATTGACATTAAAGAGGTAAGGATAAGAACTCTATTTGCATTCTACTACACATATCGGTTCGTCTAGACCATTCTTTGGAGGCACGAATGCAGGTAGATAGATAGATGTACGTAGAATTTGAGAGTTGAATTGACTAGATCAAGTAATAGAAAAACTTCCTATATTCGTAGAAAATGTGCTCTCCAGATACCTTACTCTTTCTCGTGTATTCAACTCCATAGGAATTAACAAAGCAATCTGCTCTACAGAACTTGATTGAATTGACATGGTACACACCTAGGCACCTATGATTCCTTTGAAACTTGCTTTGGTCTGCTTTTTGTTCTCATTCTCATTCTTTCCATATTGAAAGTGGTTTGTCTGAGAACTATCTGTCGAATTCTTATCCCTATCTAATGTACACTTTTACATTTTAACATTGCTTTTAAACCGTCCGCGATAAAAAGGCTAGTGGAACATCTAACACGTGATTGCGCGACTTTATAGCCTCAATTTTTAGGTCCAAAGTCGTTCCCCCACTTCCTACTGCAACCTTCACCCACAATCTCCACCCAGCAACACAACACAAAACGCGTCAATTCATCCACACAACAACATCAACTCCACACATCTACACTAACAAACACCATCGCGACATTTACGATAAGATATAAATCCTATTGCGCCAAACTCCTTCGGGTACGACTAATCCTTTGATCGTCGCATCGGGATATTCGAGATGGCTCGAACATCTGCGCGGTCGGTGTCGCGAGACCTCCCATCTTCACCACCAACCAAACCCGCAAGTCCGATTCGAAAAACCACGCGATCAACTCGTAGCCAAAGTGTAGATTTGGATGCTCGAAAACCTCGTCAAGAAATTGTTGAGAGTACGGGCGATAAAGATGAGCAACAGATCTCTAGGGGTGGTCGCAGAGCTGCTCGCAAACAAGCACTCACTCGCAGAGGTTAGCTTGCTTTACATTGTCTTTGCTAATTGTTGCTTACAAAATATAGAATTATCTATAGTTGCAGAAGACAGAGAAGTCCCATCCGATGAGGAAGATGCTGAACTAGCCAAGCTGGACGAGGATCCCGAAGCTGGCGAACAAGCCGATGATGAGGAGGATCCTGAAGCTGGGGAACCGGCCGATGAAGAGGAGGACCCTGAAGCTACCAAGGTGGCAGACCAAGAGGAGGAGGATCTTGACACAACCAAGGTCGCAAGTGGTCAGGAATACGATTCAGAAGATGAAGACCGCAGCGATTTTTCAGACGATACGCGCACAACATCACATACAAAACGGGTTATGCAAATCATTCATTCCAGGTCGGCTATTGAGACCCTCCCGGATCTTTACAATACGGCTCAAATCATTATCAGCAAATCTACCAAAAGAGACATTCGCCCTAAGGAAATGGGTCGTCATCTTAAAGCTTTGGAATCCCTTTCTAATGGACTTGAGGTTTACAAAGAGCCATATGGAAGAGAGGAGTTTATTGAAGTTGACATCGTTTTGGAAAAGGTCTCTGGGTCATTAAACGCTACAAGTCTCGGCTCAAGTGGTCTCGGTGATTGGGCTACTCCTTTTGCTGCCATTCTTCAGTCAGCGAATCTTGGAACTCTTCTAGGCCAAGTCATTCAACTACGTGAGGATGATGAAGTTTCACAACAAGATTTGATGTTATTTCTTCAATCTCTAGAGAAAATGTTTCCTCGCCCATTTGTGTCTAAGTTTGCCGCGCCTACGGATCTCGGATCGGAAAGCAGTAGATTGATCAACGAAACTCACTCTATTATGTTAGAAATACGAACTCAGCTTTTTGAACTGACTGCCCGTCAGTTAGAACTCGGTCCGAATTACAATCCTAATGAACTCCTGACTTCTTGCTTCGAGGGTAGTTTTAGGAAAAAAGATATCAAAACTGGTGAGAGGATGGATATCATCCGCAGTATGTTTTTGCCTCCAGGCCAAGCAAAGGATTCGGGAAGATATGTCGACTTTGAACGGTTGAATAAATCATTTCCAAGATCGAAATTCTTCAATGACCTTGTCGATTATGGCGAAAAGCGCTGGGTTGAGGTGGAGATGATCGTAGAAAACAGAGGCGGTATTAAGAATGTGATGTTGCCATTTGAAGAAGTTGTCAGAGATATTCAATCGGATGCCGAAGAAGAACCCGTTAAAAGTGGTCAGCCCGACTCCGAACCCGAGATTCGTGCAGACTACGAGCCGGAGGTATTAGAACGTAATGATAGCACGATCTCGGAAAGGGGCCGTCAGGCATCCGCACCAAAGAAAAGAAAAGAGTAAGAATCTGTTCATCTTTTATGTGACACGTGTTACATTCCGGTGGTTCAAAGAAACAAAATCCCGCTAACAATTTCTTAGCTTTCATGACAACCCGAGTGCTATAACGAAGCTTGTCGGTCTCAGAAAGATAGCGGGAAGTCGGAAAAGTGGTGATATAGAAGTCAGTTCTAGCATTCTAGCTTCGTCACAACCACAACAGCAGAAAAAGGACTCTGAGATTACACAATACTTCAAGAAATACAGCGATTCCCAGAATAAAGAAAATAAAAGTCCTGAACAACCCCAGGGATCCCGAGGCCGTCCACTGTTAACGGCTACTACAAAGCGTAGTGGGATGTATAGGAAGCACCCGAATGCCCAAAAAGTGGGCTGGGAGGAGGACAGCCAAGGGTTTCCTATAGATTCCCAGGCGGATGACCCGGGACCATCTCAGCCAAGAAATAACAAGCGCAGACTCCCTCCTCCAGACCTTCGAGCGGACAATGAAGTACCTCAAGTATCCCAACCAAAAACCAACAAGCGTAAAGCCGGCGATGCAAATATTTTGTCGGATGATAAAGACAATTCCTTAAATGACGATTTTGAAATCGACAAAAGAGAAATGAAACCCGGGCGCAGAATTGCTGTAACTAAATCTTCAGCACGGCCCAGCAAACGAGCACGTACTGAGGAAGGTGAAAGTTCTCGAGCACAAGATCCGCCTAGTAGAAAAGCTTCTAGACAAGCCTCTGCATCACCCGAAGTTCAGTCAGATGATGACAATCATAGCGAAGATCAAGGCTTTGAAGCCGACAAAAACGTATCTAAATCCAAGCCCCGACGTAGCGAAGAAGCGCGTACCGAAGCTGGTGAAAGCTCTCGAGCACAGATTCCACCTCGTAAACACAGATCTCCATCACCGATTTTAGCCCTTGAGAATGATGATGACGAACAAAATCAAGAAGACCTAGAACAGGAAACCCAACATAGGGAAGAGCTATCTCGACCACTTCAAGTTCCAGAGGATGATGAAGGCAGTGTGCAATTACCTCAGGATGATCTTCCAGGCACTGTCGCACATTCATTTACCCAAGCCAGCGCTCATTTGAATGTAAGAGCGCAAGCAATTAAGAATGGTTTTAGTGCAACACAAACTCGTACTCCATGGTCTGATGAAGATACACAACTTCTCATTGACTACATCGGTGATCTCGGTCCGTGGTGGTCAGAGATTGCAAAACGTGGTGAATTTGAACGTGATAATATCACTCAGGTTGGTTTGAAGGATAAGGCGAGAAATATCAAGGTTGATATGCTACTGTAAGTGGATTAACCCTTACCCTAAACTTAACCCTAACCGTTGTATACAATGCGATGCGCATGCCATAGTACTAATACTGGCCAATACAGAGCTGGCCAAACACTTCCACGAAATTTCACCGGGGTTAAACTCAATGCAAGCTTAATTAATAGAGTGAAGAGAACTTGGCCTGATTATGATCCTTATACCGACACGGGGTATGCAACCTTCTGAATGTAATCATCGGTCACTTGTACTCATCATATAATAACCAAATGCCCTTGTTTCCAATGGCAGTGAAGTCGGTAAATATTTTGAGTCGATCATACACGACTCTGTGGAAAGAAACTTTCATCTCTTTCAACTCACAGTG